CAGGGTCTTTTCATATCAGCGGTGGGTATCCTGATTGAGCATTAAAAGTCACTCTGGGGCATCAGCATTGCAATAGCTTGTGATTCATCTTGCTATAGCACCACCGAGGTTTTCATGTTGCCGTGAAAGGGATAGAGAGACAGAGAAAGAGAGAGAGAGAGAGGGATACGGTGTGCGAGAGTGAGAGAAAGACCTCTAGTAGTTTTGTAGGTTAGTTCAAAGATTCAGAAGATGCGACCAGCGTCCCTAACCGGAGGATGCAGAAGAAGGAAATGCAGCGGACCGAAGGCTGGTCTTTTGAGAACATGTAGCAGTGAAAAACACGAAACGAAACGAAACGAATTCCTGGCTCTAATTAGTAGTAACAAGTGCCACGCTAGTAGTAACAGGTGCCTTACTAGTAGTAACAAGAAGCTATTAGGAACAAGTGCATTGCTAGTCACTAAAAACACGGACCAAACATGATCTTTCAGGCTACGAATCGATGGGGCTCAGGCGGGCTGTTTGTGCTTCAGGTCTCGAGTCTGAAGGCAAGACACATGAAAACTCTTTGACTGTGTAAACCTACACAGGACCCAATTTGCGCGGCCTGTGGAAGGCACACTATGAGCAGCTTGATTTTTGCATGGGACCATTAATGAACTGAATCCTGTGTTGGACCCACTCTGTAAATGTCCTTTGACACACATGTGAGCCACAGGTAGAACAGTTCAATGAACGAGTCCTGATGTCGACGTTCACTCTTTTCTTTTTTGAGCAAGCCCGCTCGGCCCCGCTTCTACTTGATTAAGTAGGCGCCTACTTAATTCAGGAAGGGTCTAAACAAGCACCTAGCTACTTAAGCTATTAGTATGGACACAGGATGGATGGCTCACACTTCTTCAAGGAAGTTTCCCCTTTTGGGCGGCCGGGGGAGCTTCCTTGAAGAAGCGCTCGCACAAATGATTTGGCTCCTAGATTCTTAGGAAACATTAAGCAAAACCATACGGACTTTTCACGGCCGGTCTTTAACGACCACGCGTGTTTCCAGGTTCCAGCCGTTTGCCATATTCCACCCAGATAGTCAGGGCGTTTCCAGGTCGACCAGCTTGCAGTTCACTGCTTGTGGATGGCTCGATGACCGACGATTTCGATAGATGTACTCGGGCTGGGCATTTCGTCCCGTCTCGCCGTGTGTTCGATGCCACCGGAGATGCTGGTCGCACCGTGAAAGTCGGAAAGCACTCTTGTGCATCCGATCGCTCCGTTCGTAGCGATGCCAGGAGCCCCGTTCGTAGCGTCCGATCGCTCCTAGTAGCGTCCTCTGCCCTCGCCTGCAGCAAAGGATCAGTCGCCAATGGACCTCGCAGACTCTTAGGAACTCCTAGAGCTCTTTGCTTCCTGTCAGCCATTTCACTGAAGCGTGTTTGATGGCGCGATGCGATGGTGAGCTCTCTCTGAGTGGAGGGGAGTTGAGTCCGTTCTGTTTGGGCCGAGCTTCTATTCACTGCCACCCCTGATGGGTTCTCGGCCATCGTGACGATAAAGCTCAACTATTTGCCCCGCGGCAGCCCGCAAAGACGCTTGGTGCTGCCATGTGCTGCCTTTCAACATATCAGAAATCCAAACTGTGGCCCAGCTATGAGATCGATGGCAATGTCCCCATTTGATGGATAGGCGGTGACAGAAATTTCGTCCAACAGCTGATATGCCAGCACGAATTCACGGACAAGCTGCTCCTCTATGAGTATAATGTGTTTATAAACACACAGTTACAGTTTGCACAAACTGATGGGCTTAAGTCGGCCTACTGCGTGTAACCGGCTGAGGAGAAGCTTCGGCTTGAAATACTTCGATAAGCCAGTCTTCCTAAAGCGAGAGAAGCATCCTTAAAGAGATTTGCATCGCAGCAGCCTATGGACGACGTGGGGATTTCTGCTACTAGGTCGGTTGTCAAGCTGACACCACAAGGTAAAGTTCTGCAAGGTTGGAGGCCATCGCTAGTATGTTGGAGGCATTGCTACTGGTGTCAAGCTGACGCCTGCAGACGTAAAGTTCCCGCAAAGTCTGGCATGCAAGATGCGCACAGGGTGTGTGCATCGGGCGGTGTAAGGCGTTGGAATTTGTACCCTGTTTGCAAAGGGCGTGGTATTTGTACCCGTGTGTTTGATATTCACTGACCCAGGCTGATTTGGTCGATTTTGACATGTTTGACATTTTTGTTTTGGCTTCTTCGTGCCCAAAGACGTCCGATGATTGTGGCGAGGACTGCCAAGACGCGTTGCGGAAGGTGCAAGCTCGAAAACTACTGCGACAAAGAGTGTCAGGCGGAAAATATGTTTTGAATGGCTTTGACTCAACTGCCCCAACAGTGGCGATGCCAGGAGCCCCTAGTAGCCTTGCTCCTAGTAGTAAGGCCAGGAGCCCCTAGTAGCGTCCTTGCTCCTAGTACTTTTTGATGGCCGTATCTTTGGCAAAAGGGCTGTGGCTGTTTTCCTTCAATTCTTGCTCAACGAGTGTGCCAGGCGCAGCACTGGAAGAAACACAAGCTCGTTTGCAGACCGTCGTGCCCTCGATGCATCACCTCGTCATGGGCAACGCATCGCATTGCTAAGGGCCACGGCGGCCACTGTGTCTGTGCCGAAGCACCGTGCTGAGTTGACAACTTTGGAGTTCAAAAGACGTGTTTGTTCAACTAGTAACGAGAAGCTACTAGGAGCAAAGGGCATCGCTACAAGGAGCAAAGATGCTACTAGTGGCTCCTGGCAGTACTAGGAACACGAAGCTACTAGGTTGGAGGCCATTCCTGCTAGTAACAAGAAGCTACTAGTATGTCCTGGCATAGCTACTAGTAACAAGGACGCTACTAGTAGCTCCTGGCATTTACCTGTTGTTTTTTGATGTTTTTTTGTTTGTCTTTCGTCTCACACATGAAACCCCTTCGCTGCCACTTCTGCCAGGGGGTTACCTTCAAGTCAAATGCCGGGTTTAGCGGCATTACGCATCCCAGGCAATCAAAGAATCAATGCTTCGCAACTGACAGCCATTATGTAGCCGACCAAGAGACCGCCATCTTGCGCAGCAAATGAGGCACTGAAGTAGCGAAGACCAGCAATCCGCCACATGCCAGCTAAATGCGCGATAACAAGAACAAATTCATCACTTGGTGCTGTTCTTGCAAGACCAACAGAGACACTCCAACATCGCATCAGAAACATGAAAAAAACGGAAAAACATTGGACCATATTATCATTCGACTTTTACGGCGACATGTCCAACGGGCCGACTTACTGATTCACTACGTGTGCAGAAAAGAAGGCAAATGCATCGCAACACGCCTAGCCAAATAGAAGTGCAGTAAGGAACATCAAGGCAGGCTTTGCTATCAGATCTAGCGAGACGTTGCTAGCTTAAACACCTTAACGTCTTTTCCGCTGGACATCACGGTCTATTTGCTGCAGCTTTGCCCAAACAATCAGCTGCAAACATGACCAACATCGGCCATCCAACGGGGCTTACCTTGTTTTCCTCGTACATTTTGAAGACTTGTTCTGAGATGACGTGCGTTTGCTTCGATCTTCTTCATTCTCAAAACATCGTCTTGAATTGTGTCGGCAGAAACAAGGCAAAAAAGACACGTATTAAAATAATGGAGCGTTGTAAGTTAAATAGGAACAACGAGAAGCATAGGAAAAGTATTAGGGACGTTCAAAAACGAACGAGTGCGTTGTCATGTAGAGTCCGACTTTACGTCTTCACGTCGACATCGACAGGCCTTCCACTCCGAAGAAGGCGGAGGTGATTCCTCTGTGTGGTCAAGGGTTCCGCCGTTGGCCATGCCCTTATGCGATACCGATCGCGATGTGAAGCGACGATAGGAAAATCAAGCTTTGAACAAAGACACAATGCACACATATCAGGAGAAAAAAAGGATAAAGCACCCAGAATGCTAGAGTCGACTAGAGGCTGATTTTGTTTTTTTATTTACCTATAGGCCTTTGTAGAAGCAATACGAGCCCCAACTACTCACGAGAAATTGACATTTCCTTTTTGTTCCTTTTCAACCAATACTGAATTAGAATACGATTAGTAGCTTTGCACATTTGTCCACAACTGTATCTCCAACTCCTCTGCAAAATGAGGCTTGCACAGTCATCTTGGGAGCAAGTTGGCTCTGCAAACTTGGAGGAAACTTGACAGTTTGCTACTTGACGAGTCAATTCGACACACATTCGTTGGCTTCCAACCCAATAGCGATGGCCTCCACTTAGTAGCTTCTTTTTCCTAGGAGCAATGCCAGGAGCTACTAGTAGCGTCCTTGCTCCGTTCGTAGCGATGCCCTTTGCTCCGTTCGTAGCGAACATTGTTCCGCACATTCACTACTGTCTTCCTTTTCTTTTTTTTCTTTTACTAATAGCTTCTTGTTACTACTAGTAAGGCACTTGTTACTAGAAGCGATGC